GGCTAAACTCCTGCACTGGGCCCCAACATACCAAACTAAAAATCAAAATGAAGTCACTCATGTAAAGTTCCCTGCCACTAAGCTGAAAATAAACCTTCTATTTGACCTTCTGAGAATCAGGATTAGAGAGAGAACAATCAAAATGACCAACATGCCAGATTCAATCTGTATGATAATGAAGTTCTAGATGCTTAATCCTTATACAAAGAAGTAACAGTTATTGCCTGTTAGAAGGTCTCCCTGTCCCTACCTTACAAGGAGAGCAGCTTTGAAATAACTGCTCTGCTTTTTGGATTTATTTTTTTCTTTTTTGGTGGCAGTGGGGTTTGAACTCAGGGCTTCATGCTTGCTAGGCAGGCGCTCTTAACGCCTGACCACTCAGTCAGCCTTTGTGTGTGTGTGTGTGTGTGTGTGTGTGTGTGTGTGTGTGTGTGAGAGAGAGAGAGAGAGAGAGAGAGAGAGAGAGAGAGAGAGAGATTTTTTTTTTTTTCCAAGACAGAGGCTGGCTTTGAACCGCTATCCTGATTTCCGCCTCCTCAGTAGCTAGGATTATAGGTGTGTGAGTCACTGGCGCCAGGCTTGAGTTTGTTTCTTGTCTCTGCTTTCTTCAAGCCCTTCTCTGTCAATAAAACCAACCTCCTTTGCTCAGACCAGTGGAACACTTATTTTATTTTATGGAATGAAGTACTGTCCCATTCTAGAATAAAAATAAACCAAATAAGACCTTTGAGCTGGGCATCATAGTATGTGCCTGAAGTCCCAGGTACTTGGGAGGCAGAGGCATAAAAATCATTTGTGTGCAGGAGTTCCAGACCACCCTAGAGACCCCATCTTAAAAAATAAGTAAAAGTAAATAAATAAATGGGTAAATAAAAGAAGGTAGGGAGGCTACAAAGATCTTTAAACTAAACCACTGTAATTTTGTCCTTCGACATTACAAAGTTAGCTAACAGACTATGTGACAAAATGTGAAGCTGCAGAAATAACCTATCAGTACAACTGCCATGCCCTCAGTAGCTGCATTGTATTCAGACCTGAAGGGAACCCTATCCACTCTCACCCAGGCGGCCGGGCAGTGGGGGGCTGGTGCCAGAGATGAGGGTGTTGACACCCTCTGTCAACTGCTCACTGTTGACTCCTTATGTTGTCTTACTTGATTCTTCCACAATGGAGCATATATAGTCATTTTACTTATGAGATTAAAAAAAAAAAAAAAAAAAAAGTAACACCAGCTAAATCACAAAAGACCCCAAAGCCAACTAACACTTTCCAGTCTTCTTTCCTAACTGCCCCTTGCTCTGGAGACAGGAGAAAGGCTTTTCATATTTAATTAAAATATAAAATGCTTTCTTTTTTCCTGGTGGCTGGGAATATTCTGCTGACTCAGCAGTAAATAATCAGCTTTGACCTAAATAATAGAATCGCTCACAGTGTGGCAGTTGCACAAGCAGATCCAAAAGTGCAGTTTCTTCTCGCTCGCCCTTCCTCACCCCCACCCCAGGCTCCCCGTCAGCAAGCCAGTTACAGCAGGTTTTTTCCGCCTCTCCACCCCCACCATCTGGCTCATCCCAACTTCATTTCTCATCTGATAGCTTCTAAAACAGCCCCACCGCAGAACTAGACTTGACCTCATCTCCTCCCTCCCACTGCAAACCCTAGCTTTACTACACCCACTCTCTCTTCTGGGCTCTGTGCCCTGCCCTCTGGGGCACAGCATTATACACCAGTGCCCTCTCCACAAAGGGTGGCCTTTCTTCAAAACCTCTCATTGCTCAGTGGATGTGATCCATCATCAGCACGTTGAAATCATGCCAAAATGAGACGGCAAAAAGCAGAGCTTCCTATGTAAATATACTCACACCGAACCTAGCTCTCCCAAGAGTGTGGCTAGGTTGAGTGGCTCCTGCCGTGAGAGAATACTGGGCCTATTTTGTGCAGCTGGCTTACCTGGCATGGCTAAGAGGATGGGGTGGACTGGATGATGGTGGGAGTGGTTAGGATGATGGTAGGGTGTGGAGGTAAAAACTGGGTTTAGTGATGTATGCCTGTAGTCACAGAGCTGGGGAAGCTGAGGCAGGAGGATGGCGGGGCTTCAGAGAGAGACTCCCCCCCACCCTGCCCCACACACAAAAAAAATGCCAGCATTAGTAAAAGATGGTATCCACCCAGACTTTCTGACAGCCTGGTTTCTGTTCTACTACATACCTTGAAAGACAGTTCAAGGGGGCCATAACTTGGGTTTAAGAAAAAGTATGCAAGCTGGGTGCTGGTGGCTCATGCCTGTAATCCTAGCTACTCAGGAGGTAGAGATCAAGAGGACTGACGTTGGAAGCCAGCCCGGACAAATGGTTCCCAAGACCCTATCTCAAAAAAACCCAACACAAAAACAGGAGTGGCAGAATGGTTTGATTAGTAGAGTACCTGCCCAGCAAGCATGAGGCCCTGAGTTCAAACCCTAGTACTCCTCCTCCTCCCCCCCCACCCCACCTCACACACACAAAAGACAAAGTATGCAAAAAAACAAACCTCTGTACATGGACTCAAAGGAATGGAAATGTCTGGCCTAAAGAAAAGTAGAAGAGTGTGTGTGTGTGTGTGTGTGTGTGTGTACACATGTGCGTGTGTATATGCTATACTCCTGGACTGGGTAAAGCTGCCTTTCTGGAGCTGGCCACAGAGGAGCTGCTCTCATCTCCTGGGAGAGATGGGACTCTTCTGGTTGGAGGGAAGCCCAGGGATGATGCTACTCTAGAGAGACTTTGTGCAAGGGGTGGAATTCTTGGCAGGGCTCGTCTCTTTGGGGAAGAACTGAACAGCTTTAGGCTTCTTGATTTCTAGAAGGAGGGTAAGGGGGCCTCCTCTCTCAGACGCTTTGCAGCATCAGCAGGAAAAAGGAAGCTGTCTGTGTGCACAGACACAGAAACAGCAGCGGCTAGCACTCTCCCCCTTCCTCTCCCCATTAGCTTGCCTGATGGCACAAGCATTCCAACACTTTCCTTCCTTTCCTCCCCCCACCTCTGGATCCAGCTAGGAAGCAAGGACCAAGTGGGCCCAACAGCCTGGCACCCCAGCCCACCCTCAGACTGACACGCTGGGAGGACACTAGGGCTGAACTTGTGCTGAGGGCATCTGGTTCCTTCTCCAGCAATCCTTGCAGTCACACCCTCCCCAGGCACAGGGCTACAATTTATAATCCCTATCTCACAATAGGGCAGGTGGAAACTCTGTCAAGCAGTAGTCAACAAAATTAGAATACATGGAGTGGAGTCACAGCTTGGTCAGCTTGGTTCTTGGCTCTGCATCCCTTTGCCTCCAGGTCTGCAAGCAGGCCTGGCCGAGCTAGACACAAGTGAAAAAGCCCCCAAACAAGGGTCCCACATTACAACTTGCCTACCGTCTATTCTAGGGCTGACCTCCACTGGATGAACCAAATCAGGGTACATTATACACGTGTATGCAAATGTCACAATGAAACCCCCTATAGAACTATTATAAACTAATAAAAATGTTAAAAAAAAAAAAAAGAGAGAGAGCACACTTGCCAAGGAGAACCCTTCGGTCCCAAGTCCCTTCTCTGGGAGAGGTACTGGGTGCAACTCCTTTCCCCTTCCCACCAGGAAAACTGAAGGAAGTGCTTGGAAAGTAACAGCAAGAATGGTCCCCAATGTGCGCTAAGTGGAGTGTACTGGAAGGTGTGGGAAGGCTGGCACCAAACCAACTCTAGAAGTGCAACCTCTGAAATGTATCCAAGAAGTTGGTTGAGAAGCTAGTGTTTAATTAAAAGATGTGAATACCCCAATCCAGGGACATCACTGACATCAGAGATTAGCACTGAGGGCTGGCAGAGTGGCTCAAGTGGTAGAGCGCCTGCCTAGCAAGCATGATACCCTGAGTTCAAGTCCTAGTACTGCCAAAAATAAATAAATTTTAAAAAAAGGTTAGCACTGAGACTTCTAGAAGTATGGCTCTGCAGAGCTTTTCTATGGAGGATCTCTACCTATTTCAGCTCACACCCATCTTTCCCCTTCTCTCTCTCTTTTTTTTTAACTGCAACTGACTGAATCCTAAACACAGGATCTGTCTATGAGGCTTTCCCTCCAATCAAAAGACTCATCCAGGGCAGGGACCAGATACAAACTCTCCTCCAAGACAGTTTAGTGTGAGTTGGCAATCTGAGGTAGAAACAGATGCAGACCTACTGTCATGAGGCCAGAAAGGTCCTTCTCTCAGCAGCTGAGAGAAGCTAGCATGTGTGCTGTGCTAGAAAGAGAAAGAATCAGGAGTCCTGCACTCCCTGCAGGACTTGCCTACTAGGGTAAGTCGTGTGTCTGAATCTGATTTTTTTTTCTTTTTCCCAGTAGTGAAGTACCTTGAGCCACTCCACCAGCCCTTTTTTGTGATGGGTTTTTTCGAAAGAGGGTCTCTCAAACTATTTGCCTGGGCTGGCTTTGAATGGTGATCCTCCTGATCTCTGCCTCTTGAGTAGCTAGGATTACAGGTGTGAGCCACCACAGTGCCCTGTGGCTTTGGATCTATGTTTTCTTATCTGTTCTAGGAAAATGATAACAGCAGCCTAGCTTACTTCAGGGATTTGTCAGGAGGCGCAAATCAGATAATACAGGTGAAAGTGCTTTATAGAAAAAACCTTGTCAGTGAAAATTACTGTGCCTCCAAGGAACTACTTAAGTACCTTCTTGTTTTTAACAACAAATAATTATATGCAGAATCCATTCATCCAAAAAACACTTGTAAGGGATGGAGGTATGGCTCAAGGGGTAGAGCACTTACCTAACAAGAGCAAGGCCCTAAGTTCAAACCCTAGTACCCCCAAACAAAATGAAAACATATCTTCAAAACACGCTTGTAGGAAATGGAAAGTAATGAAAATAATGAAGAAAACAAATTTTTAAAAGAAGGAAAGAAAGGTGAACCAGAGACATGTAGGCTAGTAGGGAAGCTGAAAGAAGCTGTTCTGAAGGGCAGGCCCAAACAACACTTACATAAGCAGACGGCAGCCAGGAGTCGTAGGCCGGACTCTGGGGGGAAGCAGGTAGGGAAGAGCGGCTGCAACACGTAGTTGGAGAAGGTGAGGGCGATGACAGCTTGGTTAGTGGGATAGATCACCAGCACAGCGATCCACAGCCTCAGGAACCTGGAAGAGGAACAGGCACCCCGCCAAGGGCATGGTAGGAATTCAGAGTCATCAGTAGAAAGCCCAGGCAAGTTGGTGGGCAGTGGTGAGGAGAGGGAGGTGCGTTAATGGGGTGTGTTTCCTTTTTTGTCTTCAGGGATGCTGAAGAGCCCAGGTCCCACCCCTACACCGAATGAGACACCCAGTCCTCTACAATGGCAATAAAATGGTTTTACAATGAAAAGTTAGGTTTCAACTAGCACTGACACAGGTTGTGGCGTGATTTTCCTCTCCCCTCTCCTTTTCTTCCTCTCATCTCTTCTCTGCAACTCTGGCCCCAGAATTCTAAGAGCCAGGACATGCTAAGGGTGTGGCTATTTAAATAACTGCCAGGGGCTGGGTGCTGGTGGCTCATGCCTGCAATTGTAGTTACTTGGGAGGCTAAGATCAGGAGGACAGCAGTTCGAGGCCAGCCCTAGGCAAAGAGTTTGTGAGACCTCCATTTTCAAAACAGCCAGAGCAAAATAGACTGGAGGTGTGGCTCAAGAGGTAGAGTGCCTGGTTTGCAAGCATGAAGCCCTGAGTTCAAACCCCAGTTCCACCAAAAATAAATAAAGAAAATAAAGAACTGCCAGGGGAGGCCTTGAGTCAGGGATTGTAGGGGAAGTGTCTTCTACACCCTTTGGCCCTTTGGTGAGGGTTGAGGTCCTTAGCAGGATTAGAGAAGTCATGGAAATTCAAGATCAGGGTTTGACTCTAGAGGGAGATCATTATGCCTGATAATGTGAGAGGAGGAGATACGACAGTCAATCCTCATTTGTAGTCACTCTCACCTGTCAAGATGAAAGGACTTGGTTTTACTCTTCCTGGCAGTCTATGGCCAGTGTTACGATATTGTTCTATTTGGTCTCACTCAAAAAATCTGGCCCGCCAAGTTCAACACAGAGATGAAAATTATAGGTTGGTTCCTCTGACACTCTCAGGAGAGTCAAAAGACACAAGGTTACACTACCAACCATGATGTGCAGACAAAAGAACAACCCCATTCCACAGTCCTCCTCAGCGCACTGGAGACTGGGAGCCCCTTCCATTTGACCTCTCTCTGTACCATCTGGTGCCTCTCGTCCACTCAGACCTCCACAGATTTGCTTACCCAGCCAGTCCTCCAAAGATGTCCTTGACGTAGGAGTAGTCACCGCCAGATTTAGGGATAGTGACCCCCAGCTCAGCATAGCAGAGGGCTCCCACGGCCGTGATGACACCCGTCACGATCCAGACGGCAAGGGCTACGCCCACGGAGCCAGCATTCTCCAGCACGCCCTTTGGTGAGACAAAGATTCCGGAGCCGATGATGTTCCCTGCGCAAGACACCAAGGTCAAGGACGGGAGACAGTGAGGTCAGGACAACTGGTGGAACTGGCATTTGCAAGGAGATCCCATCTTTAATCAGATTCGAAAAACGCCTCTGAGATTCATAAATACTCGGCAGGCAGGCATGTCTAGTGGTAATTCTCTCAGGCTGTGGTAAAGAGGAGTACAGCACTGACACGGATTGACCAAGAATTTGGTCAGGTACTTTACAAGTGTCATTTAATTCTTTATGGAGTCAAGATAACATTTCTCACATTTTACAGCGGAGGAAAATGAATGTCAGAGAAGCCAAGTGAGTTGCTTAAGGCCACACAGTAGTAAGTGACAGAGCAAATACTGCATTTAGGCTGCACATGTTCCACTCAAGGTGACAAGGATCTCAGGATTGACAGAAAATGGCAGAATTGGAAAAGTAGGCTGCTCTCAGAGACCATCCACTAACTAGAAAGTTTAAAAAATGAGACAAAAGGGGGAGAGGGCTGGGGGGAGTAGGTGGCCCAAACAATCCATGTGAGTAAATGTAAAAATGATAAAATAATAAATAAATACTATATGCCACCCCCCACCCCAAAAATGAGCCAAAGTGCAAAACTTTTTGGACAGATTGTGGCCACACCCAGTGATTAGGAGTTTTCAAGACCTGTGAGTATGGGCAGGACATCTGGTTCGACTCTAACTCCAGCACTAGGGAGGCTGAGGCAGGAAGATCATGAGTTCAAGGTCAGACTGTTGAGACCCTGTCTCAACAACAAAAAAGCACCTATGACTATGGATAATACTTTTGAAAGCTGGCTTCTCCCCCAAATACAACAGCCCTGCCCTAGGTGAAGAACATGAAATAAGCCTATAAAAGACATCTGAGGAGTCTGGAGGTGGTTTGTCGGAATGCAATACGTGCAAAGCCTCAGGACTGTATTCTTCCAAAGGTCATTCCCTTCCCCAGCTTCATGTGGCCCTTCCACAACCTTTCAGAATTCAGGAAGAGGAGGAAGAGCAGATGTCTCTCTATTTTACAAACCAAGAGACGAAGACACAGTGGGGTTAAGAGGCTTTCTCCGAATTCCACAGCTATTGAGGGGTAAAATGGGAACCTGAAATCAATCTCCCGAAGCGTCGTTCGGTGCTCTTTCCGCCAGTCTACTCTGAGAGGTGAGGCTCTGTGTGTGTTGGGCAGGGGTGGAGCAGTGAGTGCAGAGAGCTCCTGCCATGCTCCTTCCCAAGTTTCCCTTTGTCTACTTCTATGATTAAAGGTCCGTGTGGGCAGGTACTTTGAAAGCTCTCTCCACGCCCTGCCTAGCAGTGCCACTAAATGCCTGAAAGAGAAGCACACACTAACTGGATCTGAGTGGAAATGCAGAGCTGGAATGTTTATCATGAAACCTGTTGGGTTTGATATTGTTCTGGGGACATCTCAGAGTCCCCCCACCTCTTGTGAGTGGTTTGGATCCATGAGCTGGAGAGTGTAATGTTCTGTGCTCAACTTTCCAAAATTGACATCCAGGGCTCCAGCATAATTCAACCTCAATCCAGTTCCTGAAACTTTCACTTCTAAACCAAAATTCAATATTTAATCCAGGGACAGGTATCCAGCTATTTCAGTTAAAAGGGAAGAGAAGAGAATATTCACATTCTAGGGTTGGGGGAGTGGCTCAAGTGGTAGAGTGTCTGCCTAGCAAGCACAAGACCCCAAGTTCAAACCCCAGTAAACCACCAAACCTCCCCCTCTCAAACAAAAAAGTAGTGTGACAGGAGTAATGAGGACAGGTAACAGGTCCAGACAGCATAAAAGCAGACAACCAACGTGACTGAGATACAGTAGCAGAGGACATGGAGTCAAAGCTAGAAAGAGTGAAAAAGAAGCACATTTCTGTCTCAAATATGTCTTCCTTCTTTTGGTGCTAGCAATTTATCTCCACAGAATAGAGCTACTTAGAGAAGTGAAACTAAAAGAAGAAGCAGTGCCTCCTCATCAAACTTGTGATACAAGTATCAGGCAAAGAGGTCTGGGGATAGCCCAGTGGTGAGCCCTTGCCTAGCATGTACAAGACCCTGAGTTCAATCCCCAGAACCTCAAAAAAAAAAAAAAAAAAAGTACCCTCTAAATATCAGGCAAAGAGAAGAGAAGATAGATGAAGGAGACCATGAGAGGCACAAGTTCCTAAAGATATTTCATTTGTGAATGTTTATGTAAAGTCCTATGATAAGACATCTTTGGTGGGGGGAAGAAGGGGCAGGGGGCAGGGGGGAGAAATGGCCCAAACAATGTATGCACATATGAATAAATGAATAAAGAAAAAAAGAAAAAGACATCTTTCAGCCCTCCTTTCTCCTCAACTAGTTCTCATATGTAGAGACTGACAGAGCCGCTCATCCTAGGACACAGGACATATTCGCCTTATCAAATGACTTCACCTGCCAAAACTAAGCATGCTGCTGTTCCCTGGAAGGCACCAAGTGCTGCAAATGAGAGAACTAGAGATAGGGTTGCTAAAATTGCTGAAAAAGGATAGTAAATTCCTGGCCTATCAGGTAGTTATCAAAAGAGTGATTTATAAGGCATTCAAAGCCAACCAAGAAGAGAGCAATACAACTAGGGTTATAAAACCAGCTCAAGGGGTTAGAAAAACAATCAATATCAGGGGAAAAACAAGGTTTGACTTTGGTCTTTAAGGTACTGAGAAAGGAAAGGGTAATAGTTCAGCATTTCTTGGAGCCAGGAAATTAGAGCTGTTGCAAGGAGGAATATAGGGTGTTATTTAAAAGACCTGGCTTCAGAAATGAAGAGTCAATGTTCCACCACCTTAAAAAACAAACACAGTAATAGAAACACTAAATGGGGCTCAGTAAGTACATCTCTCCTGCTGCTGCTGTGACATTTCCAATGGGTGCTCTCTCTCTCTCTGTCTCTCTCTCTCTCTCTCTCCCTTGTTCTAGGACGCAGGAGCACTGGGACACACAATGCTGATCTTTGAGGGGCCTGACCCATTTCCTGCCTCCATTTATTCTCCAAGGCTCCATGACTTTCCAGGCATTGTGATTGTAAGGGTTATAGTCGACCAGCATTAGGACAAGAGTTCTCATTCTATGTGACACAGGTTACTCCAGAGTCACCTGCACACTCATGTTTATTGCAGCACTATTCACAATAGCCAAGTTATGGAAACAGCCAAGATGCCCCACCACTGACAAATGGATCAAGAAAAAGTGGTATCTATACACAATGGAATTTTACTCAGCTATGAAGAAGAATGAAATGTTATCATTTGCAAGTAAATGGATGGAACTAGAGAACATCATTCTGAGTGAGTTAGCCCAGGCTGGAGAAAGACCAAAATCGTAATGTTCTCCCTCAATGTGGCATCAGATGAAGGGCAAACACAACAAGGGATTGGATTGGACTTTGATCACATGATAAAGCGAGAGACACAAGGGAGTTTATGAGGCATAGTAAGACACCTAAAAAACTAGATAGAATTGTTCCCTAACGCAGACAACTAAGCAGATACTTTAAAGCAACTGAGGCCAATAGGAGAAGGGACCAGGAACTACAGAAAAGGTTAGATCAAGTAAGAATTAATTCTAGGAAGATAACACATGCACAGGAAGCAGTGCAAGTCAACTCCCTGTATAGCTATCCTTATCTCAACTAGCAAAAACCCTTGGTCCTTCCTATTATTGCTTATCAGGAAGGAATACTTCTCTCTGAATCTAGGAAGCAACTATCTAGAAACCCAGCACTTGAGGCTATTTCCTCCATAGTAGCAGCCTCTGGAACTTGTGCAGGGAGAGGAACAAGCACAGCTATGCTCTGGAGCTGGAAGAAAACTTACATTTACTCAAAAGCAATGCCTGCTAGATACAATCTTTAGTGTGATTATTTGATTAATATTGATCTCCCTCACTAGACTAGCTCCAAGAGCAGAAACTGTAAAGTGTACCCTGGTAGACATACAGTCCGTAAATGCTTACTGAATAAAGGATATTTAAAATCATTTATTGCATTTTTCTTTGGAACTTCCAAATCCTATCAGAATGTTGAATGTGCATTGTAGGCGAATGAGTAAAGCAATCCACTTACTTCTCTGCTGAGGAAAAAGTATTAGCATCTTCAATTTACAGGGAAAGAAAGCAGAGCAACTGTTATTCCATTGTCCAAATGGGAAAAATGAGGGAGGTGTTATTACTTACAGTTTATGGATGGAGAAACTGAGAGGTAGTAGCCTAATTCACAGGCTAAGTTAGTAGTACCTGGATCAGGACCTAAATCTTCTGCCTCACCCTCAAGCTTTTCCCTGAAAATAAAAGACCTTCCCCTGGCACACGGGGGTCAGCCTTACCTGCTCCACTCTATAGGCAATGGGAATGGTTCACACTGAAGGCACTTATTAAAGAATTGGAGCACAGATCCAACTCCTTCCTTCTTCTGCAGTCCCACCTTCAATGGTGATATACAAGACATTCATGTCAATTACCTTACTTAATTCTGAGAACTACTTCCTTACCTGCGCTGCTCTGTGCCATCATTCCTATTTACCTTGGTGCAAACCGAGGCTCAGAGAGGGAGAGAGACTTGATCAAAGTCACACACTGTATAAGGAGTAAGGCCTGAATGGCAGGCCAAGTCCTTGGACTCCATGCCCAGGGTTTCCTCCAGACTCAATGCTGCCTCTTCTCCAGAAATTGCACAATAGGCACTTCGACCACAGCAGGCAACAGGCTTGTAATTTTGGACACTGTCCAAATGAGACTTTCCTGGAGTGGCTTTGAGAAAAGAGAACTAGGAAAGGGTTTTGGATTTTTTTTTGGCGGCACTGGGGTTTGAACTCATGCTTGCTACGCAGGCACTTTACCACTTGAGTCACTCCACCAGGCAGAATCTTTCTTGAGATGCAGGAAGAAAGTTCAGTAGTGTGGGTTTTTTTTTTTTCTTTTTCTTTTTTTCTCCATTGTACTCTTAGATTCATTGTCTAGAAAGCCATTTAAGAAT